GGTTGGACAAAGCTAATCTATGGTATATTTTTTGTGCCTGTGAAATTGAGGACAATGGCCACATGCCAACATGAGAGTTGGAAATTTTCAATTAGCAATCCAATCACAAATCAATTAGGAAAAGAAGAGAGAAATCCTCTACCAAACAACTCCTTAAATTATTTTTGATTGGATTGATAAGTTAGAAAATGATGAAATTTAACTTTATAAATTATTTTTTGTAATTGTAGATCTGATTTTTTTTTTAATATTAGATGAATAATAAATTTATTATAATATTGATTTTTGGGATCATTAAAAAAAAACAAGCTAAGCATATATGATTTTTTGTTTTGATGTATGAATTGAAGCAATAAATGATAATTTAGAGGCTAAGATTTCGTTTGGGACAACTTTTTTATTGCTTTATAAAGTAGTTTTTTTTTATAAAAAAATTATTTGTGTTGATTAAATCAAGTTCATTTAAGTTATGACTATGTGCTTGAGAAACTAGTTCACCTTTGGGGAAGCTTCATTCAGCTTGTGAGGAATGGGTGATGCCAAAAGAGAGGATTGCGAGGGGAGAACCTTTGGCCGCCAATACTACCTTGTTATAAGGGAGAGGATGATGAGGCATAAGGAAAAAAATAATGAAAAGTTCTTAAGAGAAAAATGAAAAAAAAAAAACTTTGGAATTATTGATGTTCTTAGAATGGGGAGAAAATAAAGAAAAAGAAAGCATATATATGAATATAAGGGGTATACATTATTAAAATTTGTAATTTATCTACTGTGCAATGAAGTGGAGGAAGCACTTTAAAAATAAAATAAAATGATGTATAATATAGGAAAGGTTCACCTCGCGTCATCAAGGAAAATGACAGATGTGGAAAGAAGGAATTAATGGAAAAAAGAATAGTGTACATCATTTATATGAGTTCAATCTTAAATACTATATCTTAAATCCTATACACAAACATGAGCAATAAGCTTTTATGGGGAGAATGAGGGCTTCTAATTGCATGTCTAAGGAGCTATTGTAACCTTCTAAGAGTAGCATGCAATCTTTTCATTCTTTGGATATCAATAATTGTATATGGAGAATACTTCTCATTCCTGAATTACTATTGCATTATATGTGCTCTAACAAGCTTAGTACTGGGCAATGATGTGTCAAGGCGTTGACATTGATCGTATGGTCAAGTAGGATAAGATGGTCAAAAAGAACCAATGATTAAACCCATCAACTATGAAATTAATGGGTGTTGAGACAATCAAATGTTTAACAAATAATGACTAGCTAAGCCCCAATTGACATTTATATGAAGAGTTGATAAGCAATGCTACAACACTACAGAGAAAATGTCAATAACAATCAAAATTTTAAAATTAATGGGTGTTGTGAAGTAAGAATTCCACCCAACCATTCTCCTCTTTTTACTCATGCATTTGCCCTAACCACCCTCTTTATCTCACAATTCTCTATGTACTCACATTGCTCTTTTGCCTTGATTCAACCTAGTGATGCCCTATAGACACCTCTTTATATAAATAAGGAGCCTCATTAAACCTCTGAGCACCAGCAAACCTTTTGTTGTTAGATTTTCTTAAATTTATTTTGTATTTATACTCTCTTTTTGTCAAATGTTTAATTTCTATTTTCTATTATTGAAATACTTATATTTTCTTTTAGATCTATGTATTCATGTAATATTTATTACACTTGTTGCCGATTTTTCATGTAGTTGATTTGTGTTATATTTAGATATGTTATATAGTTTTTTAGATATTGTCTAATATTTATTTAATTTTTGGTATGTTCTTGAAATAGTTAATAGTGTTATTAAAAATTTGAATATTTTAGAAAAAAATTAGTACTTATTAATGTTTTTAAAAATTCTGTTCAAAATATAGTTGGCGGTGCCTTAAAAATCATTATTATTATTACATGATAAAAAAATTGCATCAATAGAGAGATTTTTTACATTCATAGGTAAAAATGAAGAATGCATGAGATACTATAACTTTTATATATATAACCTGTAAAGGAAAACAAATCATGGGATATGGCTCAATTGAAATAATCTACTATGTACTTGAAGTAGAAGTCTACTATTTTCCACAACTCGAGAAGATAGGTACTTGCTTAGTCTCCTATATACTTATAATTGAAATTATAGGAGAAAAAATGTAGGGATGATGTTGACAATCAAATGATGTTAGTTGTATAATGGTAGTTGGATGATTGTGCGGGATGATAGTGATCGAGTAATGGTGGTCGGATGATGGCAGTTGAAAGATGGTGTTTTGAAAAAAATATGATGACTGATTGACAGCTATCGAATGATAGAAATGAACTATAATAATTGGGCAAAGATAATCATTGGGCGGTGCTGGTTCGATAATGACAATTGGATGATGGTGATGGTTGATAGAGATTGCTAGCAACAAATATCCAGTAAATGTTTTAGAGTCCTTCATATCTCCAAAATTTCTCTCCAATCCCCTCTCAAGGTATCTTTGATGTGGAGAATGTTAGTATATTTATAATATTTTGAAAGTGAATTTTTAATAAATTTAGCAAAAATTTAATAACTCTATATCGAACATTCTATATTGCATCATTTGATTATAAAGGCTATGCATTCTAATCAAATATTGGAACAATAAAGAAAACACTGATTTTGGTGCAACTAAGGAGAAATTCAATAAATTTGGGTCAAAAAATAAAATAAAACTGGGCAATTGGGAATGAAGAGTATTGGGAATAGTTTTTGGGACGAGCCATTAGGTTTGATTGATTTGTTAGGTTAATTAGCGTGGCAATTATTGAAAGTGTTAACTCAACATGTCCAAATTGGGTGTTAATAAACTAGGCATTATAGTGGCGAGAGACAATCGATGATACTGAAACATGAACCATGCAAGTATTGACTCAAAATCATGTTCCTCATAAAAGGAAGCCAACGGTGGTTGAACATCACAGGGGCGAAACTAGTATTTGCATGAACATTGAGAAATTCAATGATCAATAGTTATGAGCCAAGTAGTATGAATTGGGTTAAGATCATGTGGCTTACAATGAGAACTAATGATTGTTGAAAATAATTCATATAGATGTAGACTGGATCTAATCATGCAACTCATGTTGAAATTAAGTCAATTATTATCTAACATAGGATGATTAATATGAAGTAGGATGAGATCATGTTCTTAACAAGGATCAATGATTGTTGTCCTTAGTTCATGTAGGTTAGACAAAAATCATATGATTTATGATGATTGAACATCTATGTATATTCCCTTGATTAAATATAATAGGCCTTCCAAACATTAATTTCATATAAAATGACATAGCTCGCTCACAAATAACATTATATCAATTGCTAGTAGGATTTGTTTTTCTCTCTTCTATCATTTATTCTTTTTTTCTTCTCTCTAATTCAACATTATCATACTACAAATTTCTAATTTGTTAGAAGAATTTTCTATTTTCTTCTCTAACTTCTCACTCTAGTAATTGAAATCAACTACAAAGATAAATCCTAAATTATTATTTTTGTTGACTTATATACAATTGATGTTAGACATTTTAATTAAATTGAGTAATAAAAATTTGATATAATCAATTATTTTAAAACTTTGTTTAAATGTAGATTAAAGGGATTTTATATGAATTATAATAAGGAAGATAATATTATCTCAATATGTCTTTATATAATTTAGATAAAAAAATAAACAATAAATGCTTGAATTTAGCATGCAAATGCTGAAAATTAGAATATTTTAAATTTATTTTTGTGGAGAAAAAAATTGGTTGTTAGTGTTATTTTTTATATATTTTTTAATTTTAAACATTTATCTTCTAATTAATTTTGAATATTAATCTTTTATATTTTAACATAAATTATGTTAAGATATTTAGAAATATTGTTTCATAATTAGGATATTAAAACCTATTCTGTTTATAATGCTTCCTCTTAAAAGTATAATAAATATAGTAATATAATTAATAAATTGTAAATACAGCCTTCATTACAAAATGTGAACGGGAAGGCAGCATCAAATTATATTTTCTGCGGCTTTGTCCTTAGACGACCACCATCTGGGACCGCGATTGGGACCCGTCAACCCCCGAGGCCCCGACGGCCTGCCCTCAATTTGACGATACGAGGCCGGTCAAATTCCCAGTCAATCAAAATAGTAAAATTACAGCCACTAAATCCAACAATCATAAATTCATCCGTCCTAACGATTAATTGAGATGAATTAATAAATTTTCCTTCTCAAATAAATATAAAAAAGGGATTAACATTTTATATCACGCAATTTATATATCTAATTCAAAATTTTAATATTTCTATAAAAAATAAAATATTAAAATTTATAAGATGGTATGGGCAATAGGAATGAAATATAAAAGTGATATATTTACTATTAAAATTGTCTACGAGTGAAATGCATGAAATGATAAAATTTTAGATATTAGATATGTAAATCTCCCATTTAAAAAAAAGTTTCTTAAATTTTATTAATCCACATATATCTTTAAATTTATTTTGAAACAATTATAATATAAAGTTTTTGATTTATTATTATATATGAGAGTTTAAATTTTAATTTTATATTGAAATATTTAAATAAACTTTTTTTAATATCATCAATCTTAAAATTTAAAATAATTATAATGAAAAAATACATTAATCTTAAAATAAATTTAAAATTTTGATTGATTCATTATAAGAATTTTTTTATCCCGACATGTTTATAAAAAATTAAAAATATTTTTTATTTTGATCCCAAAAACAGCATCTCGCGTAAGCTACAGTAAGGCACTGTGACGCAACTACCGCCGTTAAGTTAGACGGCTGTATGCACGTGCGGCGAAGCTGTCAGACACGTGAGCAAGATATGGTTGACAGACAGACAGGCAACGGGCAGCTGCCCCCTACACGACAAAAGTGCATGGAGCCCCTTCTTTGCAATTCTCCTTCCCTTGCCATGGGCCAAAGTGCAAGGTGGCGCACATGGCCCTCTCTCTCTCTCTCTCTCTCTCTCCTCCTTCCTTCTCCATCTTCTCTATTTATGAACTCTCCGATCTCTTCTCTGCTCTTACTACCACTCTTTCTCTCTCCACCTCTGCATTTATTGGATCCGTTAATCTTCTGCTGAATGGAGGGAGGTATCAGAAACCTTGAGTTGATCAGGAAGAGGAGATCGAGGTTGGCGGCGAGAAGAAGAAGAGAGACGTTGAGAAAGGTGGGAAGAGAGAATGGGAGATCGGTGAGAAGAAAGGTTGTAGAGCTACAGAAGTTGGTGCCAGGCGGAGAAGAGCTCCGCCCTCATCAACTCCTCGCTAGAACGGCAAATTATATCTTCCAACTCAAGGTGCAAGTTCTCCTTCTAAGGGCTTTGTCTAAGCTGTACATGATCTGAGTTATTTGTTGGATTTAAATTAAGCTGAACAATATTATTGTAACTAGGTAGCTATTATATGCATTCTTATGTTTTTTTTTTTTTAAATAATTATGGCTTTTTTTCTTAGCTTCCTCTGGGGGAGAGGATTGAAGGAAGAATTTGAGATAACTATGTGTGTTTTTATGGTAATTGTACGTTGTGTTTGTGATTATATATAGGATTTCATAAGACGAATGTGTTTGATCTGTTGGTGGGAAAATGCTATTTTGTGAATTATTTATGTGTTTTCGGTTTTTGTTTTAATAATATTTTGCTGAGATGCAGAATATATATGAATCGTTGATCTGTTTAATTTTTTTTTGGACTTAGAAGATAATTAATTGTCTTGATGATTGCCTTTTAAAAATGGAAGGAGATAACTAAGAACACGATGGAGGTTCTTACTGTTTAACAGGATTCTGATCCAAATGGATTAATAATATATGAAGATCAGTCTGTGATTCCATCTAAGTAATCTAATAAAGTTTGAAGATTAACTCATCGATATGAAAGTTGATCAGGTAGATCTAACGCCATGAGAAGGAGAAAGTTCAGATCAGATAGTGTGACTTGCTGGAATTGCAATAATAAAAATACCAAGAAAAGAGGATTGTAAGAGAGAGAGAGAGAGAGAGAGAGAGATTGAAAACTCCATTAATGCTACTATAAAAAAAGAGATTGAAGGTGTTTGAATTCTGAGTGTGATTGTAATCTTACATTAACGATTTTAGGGTTTTTTTTTGTTTTCATAGAACCTTGCAATTATATTATGGTGCTAACTGCTAACTGTTTTAGAAATGGTTTAATTACTTTGTGGATGATAAACTTTTTGTTATTGTTAGTAATGATAATATTCATTGAAGACATCTAACTAACCATCTTGAGATTTATAGAATATTAAGTGTATTTTTTACTTGAAGAGAAATAAGAAAATTTGATGATGAAGTTAACTTTTATATTATTTGTTATTGGGTCATCAAAAATCGTCAAAGATGTCATAGCACGTGAAAATAATTATGGCATTCTCTATATGACCAAACATATTAAAAATAATGTAGAAGTAATTGATTTGAAATGGAAATTAAAAAGTGCAGATATATGAGCAAGAAGGGGATTAAGGGTATCAATTTGGGTCAAAGGGTTTGTGAACAAAAAAGAAATTAACTATTAGTCTATATAATGCCATGTACACTAAAAGATGTGGCAATTAAATTTGAGGAGAGAGAGAGAGAAAGTCGTATCTGAGGAAAAGTCTTCAGCCAAGATATATACCTCCCATGATCAAAAGAGAAAGTATATGCATGATAATGAAAGGATCAAATATGTAAGATAATAAAGAGACTTTTAAAAACGACCTATAATGTTTCTAAGAGGATCTCAACTCAAGGGTGGAGGATTCCATGATCATGAGAGAACTAATTAAGTGCATCTTTCTAAGCTTGGAGCACCCACAAGGCAAGAATCTAATAACTAAGAGCAAGAGAGCCAAGGATGTTAAGCGCCAAAGATCTAGAAAAGATAGCACAAAGGTGAGAAATAAACAAGGAAGCTTGAGAACCTAGAGTGACCATTGATTGTGTACGTAGTACTAGTAATTATGACAATTTAGAAAAATCACTCCATGACCATGGTGCCACAGAGAATAACCATACCTTGTCACTTAACAATTTAGAGCAATGATGCATTATAGCAAATGTACGTCATAGTTGTGCGTATCATATCTTAATTAAATGTAGCCAAGTTGTAGCCCGTGTTTTGCCCAACCTATCCTATTCAAGATGGAAGTTGGATATGATATAGTAGAACTTCATAGTCTTCTTTAGTATTAGGGATTGAGTCTTCACTAATCAAGAGAGGGCATCGATTTGGATAGCTAGAGTGGGTTAGAGGGAATTTAAGTATATATTTCTTATTCCTTATATTTTTTCTTTCTTGTCTCCATTAATTAAATTACAATTAATAGCCCTAATTTAATCCATGTTGCTTTCTTTATAAAATGGTTAAAGCTAGATCAAGTTTTTGATATTAAAGTGCCTAGGTTCAAATATAGCTTATAATGCATGGTGTTGATGAAAAGTTACTACATGGATATGAGAGAATTTCTTTTAAAATTAGAAGAAACATTAAAAAGGCAAGGTGAAACTAGAATGACAGCCAAGGAGCATGCTCCATTGACTTTGTGAATTCATTTATATAGCTCCAATAGCAGATGGTTATAATGATGGGGATATTAAGCAATTATATCCTAATATAAATGTTTGACAAATATCACAAAAAAAGATCAAACTCAAATTGAAAACTCACTATCAAGAACTTGTGTGACTAGTGAGAGTTCTAGAAGGTAAACAGATCATTCAGAAGATGAGGATCAAGAATTTGCTTTTCCTAAGAAACATCTACCATTCAAGATAGAGATTATGATTAATACCCTTTTTTGATGGAGCCATTAATATAGTGAAATTGGTTGTATGGGTCGACCAATTGATGACCTACTTCAATCTCTATTGGTATACATTTTCAAGAGAAGATGTCTTTTATAAGATTCTCATGAAGCATGTTTTGAATGTGTGAAATGCTCATATTCATTATAAATATTAAGATATTTTTTAAAGTCAATTAAAGAAACTACTCCGCAAAAAATTATATCCTATGGGATAAAAAGAAGAAAGATGAAGGAAGTGGCATGAGTTGCACCAACATTAAGATGATAACATGTAAGACTACATATTTGAGACCTAATGATTGGAGCATAAATAAAAGATGCATTCATGATGATGAAGTACGTAGCATGGTTGTATTATAACATCTCCAATGAGATCCTACTCTTCCAATCAAAGATCTTCATCTAGTTAGCATGTTCATTATGGAGATTGACAGAAAGATTGACAAACTTTTTTCCATAAAGAGAAGAAAGGAGATCATAATTGTTTAAATGAAGAAGTGGAAGGTAAAAGCTTTGAACTGAGGTAATTGTGCAAACACTTCTTCTAAAAAAGCTACCTACTTTCCTTTCATAGTGGTCAAACAATTAAAAAATTCCAAAAATAGCCAAAAGGGCAATTGTCAAATTGCATGGTTTGATCCCCTGACTCTAAACCAATTGATTTGGACGCCTCTAAACCACTCTAAAATATTTTTAGGGTAGTTTAAACCAAAGCTTAACCCATGCACCAGCCTATGTTAGCTCAAATGGTCCCTCTTGCACAAAATGTCAAAATTGGCCTTCCACCTAAACTTGTCGCTACCTGGCCAAAACCTGCTCGCCTAACCTCACGGGACACTTGGCAAGCATTTAAGTGAGAACAACAATCCATCCCAACCCTCCATGTTAACCCCATGGCATAGAATAGGGCAAAACCTTTCGAAAAATCATCATAACGTACTCACAACACCAAAACTTTTCGACCAAGACACTTCCAGGGCTCTCATTACTCTCTTTTTGTTGTTGGGTCTCTTCTTAATTGATTATTAATAGGTATATAAAGCTTGTTAAGAATCTAATTAATTGATTATTAATATAAGTATAAATGTATTATAAATATAGATATATGCATATTAAATGTTTTTTAAATTTTAAAAAAGATTTTTATATAAATAAATAAATATACATGTAATTTATAATAAAAATATAATTTCTCAAAAGAAATAAAGTTTAATTTTGAACGACCTTCTTACTGCTTCATAAAGCAACTTTTTAGTACAAAATTTAAAATTTTTATACTATAAAGTTGTTTTAAGAAGCAGAAAGAAAGTTGTCCCAAACTAAGGCTTCATTTGGAGTGGCTTTTATATCATTTTTTAAAAGCAATTTTTTATTACAAAAAAATTTAAATTAGAAAATTTTATACTAAAAATTTATTTTTAAAAAATAATAAAAAAAATTATCCCAAACAAAACCTGAGAGGAGTCAAGCCGTCAAACACATCAAATAGAGATGAAAAGTTTACTTCACTTGCATGATGCCCTTTAATAAACTTATAATTCCTGCATTTAGTTTTTGCCTTTTCAAGTAACCCAATTTGCTTTCATCTTGCTATGGAGAGAGCCAAGTTGCCATTGATGGTGGAGGCTTTACAAATAGTGAGAGCATTAAACGACCCTTTCTCATCGCATAGTCCACCGACACAAAGTCTCAATATTAGGCACCATACAAAAGGCCATCAGAGGAAAAATCAGCTTATCACCATAATTATCCACAAAGCTACCATGAAAATCAAATTATGTTATTTGATCTTTAACATGCATAAGGGGAGTAGGTTGGGTGAGGTTAGCCAATTCTACTCATGAGTCAACTCAAAATCGCCTCGATAAATAGCTCATAAGCTAAACTCAATGAGCTAACAAGAAAGATTCGAATCAACCTTAACTCGACTTATCATGTCATAAGGTAGCTCATTTAAACATGTTAATATTACATACACTTAAAATATATAGAAATTCAATAAATTTAGCCTAAAATTATTAAATATATTTAAATATTATAATTCTCTTTCTTATTTCAAATGATTTCTTACTAATAGTTTATCAAATTTATTATTATTTTTATCATGTTATAATAAATATTATTTGAATAAAAAAAGTTTTATCTCTTTTATTATAAATAAACCATCTGATAAACCAACTCAAATTTATAAAATTAAACTCAAGCTTGAGCTATTAACTAATCAATCTTAAGCTCAAACAAAGTGGCTCAAAATCAGTTCAACTCATTTACACCCTAAAAAATATTTTGGCTTAATTTGAGGTGGCTTTCTTATTGTTTTCTAAAAAAACTTTTTAGTACAATTTTTTTTTTAACTAGAATTTTTTGTGCTAGAAAGCAATAAAAAAAAAGCTGCCCCAAATGACGCCTAAATGATCTTAATATATCACTCATACTCTATAATCCCATATGATAGGAACACAAACATAAAACAATCATCAATGAATTTATGTAGGAGAACCATTACTAAAAAATTGCTTTACCAAAAAAAAAAAACACAGTACATTAACTCATACATACAGCAAGCTCATACTTGTACATTCCATTCAATTTTATGCTATAACTCAAAATGATTTTTTTATACATAATTACATAAAATTTTGACCCTTAAATCAAGAAACTGGAGAAAGATTTATCGCATTAACATTTGCGTTAAATATAATTTTAAGAAAATATATTAACCTTTCGAATTCTAAAGTATCTCTGAGACTGGGATTGGTCATAGATTTGTTAAGAAAACAATTTTATTGTACCATAAAGGCTGGTGGGTGAGATTTTTTTTTTTTTTTTTGGAACATTATCTACCCACTGTCACAAGCTATTATTATGTGCGGACACCAGACGGTTTTTCCATCTAGTCATTCCGTCTGGTTACGTGCTTGGTATTGAGTGCAGTACATTTTTGAGGTGATGTGGTGCATTTTTATTGGTCTCCGGACGACATCCAGACTCCGCACAGAATAATAAATCAACTGTCACCCCGCTTAGGAGGCATTTAACAACATAACTAATCCCTCAACGAGCCTACCTGCAACCAGCCCAAAAAAATGTACCGCACAGAGTCTGGATGGCGCGGCATCTGCAGCAAAATATGTGCCAACTAACCTTTAAAACTGTTAGCAATTTTGCATAGGAACCTGATAAAGCTATTGTGCGAGTGGCAACGGCATTAAAGGACCCAGGAATACAAACTCGGAGAGAAGAAAGTGGGTAATTACAGAAAGACATGGATTCTTTCAATAATTTCATTACGATTACTAAGCAAAACGAGCCACATAAACTAATATGAGATCAGAGTTCGCTACTTTCTACACGCATGTGTTCAGTGACTTGCAGCAAATACTTTGATTTACATCGCCAGATAATTACAGAAGTTCAGTCATCAAGCAATACCATTTATCTCCAATCTTTTCTTCCCATATATTCTAACGTATCGATTTTCCCTTTACTTTTCTATCCAGGCAGAATGGCATAGTAACAAACAATAGGAGAACAATTTAAAGGCTAAGCACTGACCGAGTACATCACATGTTTTGAAGAGTAGAAAGCCACCTTTCAATGTAGCCATCATCCTCTGCACAAAGAGAGCGCAGGGATGCATTAGTAAATAAAGTACGTGGGAAAAAAAACTTAAAAAGGCTCTATAGTTAGTAGCAAAAAAAAAGTGAAAGAAATTCTCTTAGTGTTTGATTTGATGTATACTGGTTACGTTCAGTTAACTCATCTAAGTTCTTATTTGGCTCTTGTATTTACAAAATTGCCGTAAAGTTAGTCCAATCAAGAAGTAGCCAGAAATTTGACAGGTTTACCTTTATTTTCTAACAATCATAAAGCTCCTAAGAAATAATTGGCTATGCAACAAAAAGATGAAAATAGCATACAAGCTCCCGTCAAACGGACATCAAAAGGCCTGGATTACAGTTCCAGAGCCAGGGGCGGGAGAGATTGTTCTGTGCAGAGTCCGAACGCGTTCGGAGATCAATCAGGGCGCGCCACATCATCCAATGCACAGTGCATTGGGTTGACCTGGCTCGTCCAGATTGGCCTCTAGGCTCGTTTGGACACCGCTTATGGTTGGCACAATAAAACCATCTTATAACAACTATGATCATTGAAAGTACTTTAACTCCAAAACAGTAATAATAGATTTACCTTTTACTACTACTAGGCTAACATACATCAAACCGTGATTTTAAGCAGTTATCAATCTTTTTGGTCTTGCTCGACAGCTATATATACACATATGTATGTGGAAGAAAGGTTAAAGTTGCCCCCACCCCCCCCTAAAAAATTTTTTTTGCTCCGCCATTGTCAAGAGCAATGAATTCTCAAAGGAATAAAAATCATTTATTTGCACAGTATTTAAACAGTCTTTCTAACCATTAACTGACACTGTTAAGAAAGCAGATTAAGGTAACAAAAAAAATTATTAAAATTCAAGATCTTAAGTAAAAGAACTAGGAAAAAATTTGTCATTGACGTAAAGCGAAAATTTAAAGTACAAGCATGAATAATAACTATACTCCATGATCCTAGCTTGCTATTCCATGACCAGGAGCATAATAGTGGAGCTAAAGATCGAGATTGATCAGGAAACCACAAATTTGAATGCAAACAATACATATTATGACAAGTACACGTAGAAACAATTGAGTGCAAGCATGAATAAAAACAAAAATGTTGAAACGTCATTTCGTGATCCTTAACTATTTTGTAAGTACAATCATTATTATTAAATAAAACGCCAAACTGTTAAAGTAACATGCCTTCCAAACATCATGAAGAAAATATACACTTAGTTGCTTATCCATTATTAATTAATATTATGAAAGAATCTCTTTTTTAAAAATTTATTGTCAGAGAGGGAAATTCACGAGTTGATGTTCAAGAGAAAACTACAATGATACAGTAAAGTGCACTTAAAATTTCCAAAAAAAAAAAAAAGTGCACTTCAAGAACATCTTGCAGATTTATAGTTTTAACTCTGCAAGTAGCAACACAAAAAACAAAGACAAATGATATACTCCCCAAAAAAATAATGCAAACGCAGGTGAATCAATAAAATTTCTTCTGAAACAAAAATGAATTACTCTTTCCCAAACTTGATTGATCTGCCCATGAAAGGAAATCTAAATAATTTTTAGTTTGATTTTTTGAGTTTAGAAATATTCTAAAGCAAAAAAGTATCAACCAATATTTACTTTAAATTACAGGAAATCAACAAACAATAACCAAAATCACAAGCATTTTAATGACAACTATAAAAATCGATTGGCCCATAAAATGGTATTCTTTGTCTTGTTTTGATTTGAATTATATAAATCTCTCTAAATATCATAACTTTATTATTTGACGTAGTGGTGAAGTTTCTTTGTGCGGTTCCATTTGGCCCAAGTTTCAAACTTGCTCCTTATTGAATTCCAAAAATCTGTTTTGGTAACTTATAAAACACCTAAAATGTATTCTCTAAATTTCTTTCAAAAGTTCAACCTGTTTATCATAAGTAGCTTTGATCCTTTATCAGCTCAACGAGGTTCAAAATTTAAAAAATTACAGGGTTTGCACGTGGTTCTTAAGAGTGACATCAAGGACATCTTCAATTTGCGTTTTAATCGATTTAATTTAAAACAAAAAACAAAAATTAAGATGCAACAAAATCATATAAAGCCATAAGAACTGATCTTGGAATTTATGAAAGATAATCACCACTCACCAGAAGAAAGCCCATTTTGCTGAATGGCAGTCTGGTCACCGCCCAAGACATAATTCTTGAGATTAACAGTCTTCTCAAACTGGCCACGGCTATAGCAGGGAACAAGAACAGCAAAGCTGTTTTCGTTATCACTGTTATTACTCAGGAAATCAGAAGCATGGGGTTCCATCCACCCAATCGACCAGTCAGAATCATCAGACTCGGATCCTGACAAGCAACCTCCATCTGAGGGTACAATTACCATATCATAATCTCTGTCGATCCTTAGCCTCCTTTCCTCCCTGCTTTGCCACTTCCTCTTAACTCTTCTTGGGGATGACCCCATTCTAGGCCCATTCATAGACAAAAACTTCACAGAATCGGGCTCCCTGAACACAGGTGGTAGATCAGTAGAGGAATGCAAAGCTGAGTTGCAGCTTTCATGGTTTCTTGTCCCACGCAGCCAATAAGAAAGACTGGTAAAGGCTAAGGCCATTCCCAAAAGCCCTGTCTTTAGTACTGATTAACGAAAATTCAACAAGCTCCTTAACCTAATAAAAAATATAAGGCGAAAATATGGCCAACGACGAATAGACGCGACAAGCAAATGTTATCCTCAGAGGAAGAACATCGGTGAACATAACCTAAAAAGAATTTCTCTAAATCCAATAAGAACGGAGAAAAAGCACACAAAGCTCATTTTTCTACTTCCTAACTTTCCCTTAGTTGTCTTCCTTTGAAGAAGAAGAAGAATTAGGGACCACTACCACAAAAAACCGCAGATGACCCAATTTTATAAGAAACTTTAAAAACACAATTGGTGGCGGAGAAAAACCCGATTAAAAAAAAAAAGATCTGCGGAACCCCTAAGTCCCGGAAAACCCTAGCTCCTGCATACTCCCCCGATTCAGAATACGAAAGGTTGGAAAGTTCAGTAAAATCAATAACTCAATCGATGATCCATCAGCTATTAGCTTATTAGACCATCTAAAACGTCCACCCGATCACCTGCGGCGGTAGATTTCGAACCCCTTGCTTCCCCTTAAGACTCCTCAACCAAATGTGGAGAGAAAGGGGAGAAGAGGGAGAGAGTAAAGAGGATAAAAAAAGTTATCTCCTTTCTCTCACAGTCCCACCGATCCTTCGTTAAAAGCCATCTGATCCTTCATTTATTTTTCTAACTGACAGCGAATTATATATATAATATTACTTCTGATTGAAGACTTTAAACTCAGATATTGACTTAAATTTATTTAATTTAGTTTTTAAACGATATAAAGTATAGCACATAAATAATAATTCAAAATATTTATTATAATCATCTGAAATCTTATCTTAAAAAAAAATATCTGTCACTCTCCAATTCTCAAATTATGAAGCATAAGACTCAAATTTTTCCTATCACAAAATTTATATGTTTTTATATATTTAATATCTAAATTTTATATATTTTATTATAAATTATTTTATTGTCTACATGTATGAAAAATATATGATTTATTTTAAATAACTAAATATTAATAATATTTTTAATTAGATTTAAAATTATAAATATTAGATAAGTAAATATAAATATTTAACTATTACTAATATAAATAATTTATTATTATTATTATTATTATTATTATTATTATTCATGGTATCAGAGCTGCAGACGGAAGCCGCAGATGTGGGACAAACCGTTCTCATGCTTGGTGCTTACATTCGGTCCAGACCTCATGGGCCTCCGATCGCAAATCTATTTCAGAATTTTGCACTTTTATGGGACTGAACCTTCTCACCTGGTCGGTCAAGAAACAGATCACGGTAGCCAAATCCTCCACGGAGGCGGAATACCGTGCACTCTCGGCAGCCACATCGGACGTCCTTTGGCTCCGACGACTAGCGGATGAACTCCTCCTCCAACAAACCGAGCCGACCACTCTTTATTGCGATAACATCTCCGCCATTGCTATCGCCAAGAATCCGATTTTTCACGCTAGGACCAAGCATATTGAAATCGATTTTCAATTCATCCGTCAACATCTACTAACCGGCAACATTTGCATACAGCATATAGCCTCTCAAGAACAAATCGCATATATTCTTACCAAACCCTTCTCTACCTCCCGCTTTGATTATCTCCTCTCCAAATTGACCATTCGCCCGAAGAATGATCAATTTGTGGGGGAATGTAAGCACCAAGCATGAGAACGGTTTGTCCCACATCTGCGGCTTCCGTCTGCAGCTCATTTAGTTTCTATTTATATACCCTGCATTCCCTCTAATAATTAGATAATAAAATACTCCTTATTTTGTATTAGCTTTGGCTCATTTGGCCCTTTTCCATTACTACAGCAGCTCTTACACAAACCGCATTCAAATATTCTAAAGTGTTTTGACTAAGCATACATATAGATTGACATTATACTGTTTGCATCGTCACATATAGAGTTGGGGGTGTGATAAAGAAAATTATTACTGGTGTGAAATATTTGATGTTCTTAAAAGGGTTGAAGAATCATCGTTAGATAAAATTTTCAATATCTTGAGTTACAATTCTTTAGAGCCCTAATTGATCAATTTATGTTGAGGATGATTAATTATAAGTAAAATGATTGATATATTCAAACATGATTAACAACATTTGAATAATATTCAAATATGGTTATAATAATATTTGGACAACTTTCGAATCATATTTTAATCATGTTAGAATAAATTTTGCATAGTTCAAACCTTGTTCAAGCTCGTCTTGTCGCTCTTCTAATTTTTTCAGCATTAAAGTTTCGTTTGGGACGATTTTCTTATTGTTTTTTTAAATCAAATTTTTAGTAGAGATATTTTAATTTTTATACTAAAAAGCTGCTTAAAAAATCATTAAGAAAGTCGTCCAAACGAAACTCAAGTCTTCATCAAGATGACCCCAAACGAAGCATTATAAGTTGATATTTACTTTGGAATTTTAATGATTGAGTGAAAATTTGAAGATTGGGATGATATAGATAATTTGATATAAATCAATCACTATAAGCCTAATAAAAATTTTCTTAGGGTCATTAAAATGATTAAATAAATAATAATGGTGCAGTTAGTCATTATCTTTTTATATGATGGATATAATTGTTACAGGATTACAGGAACGGTGTTAGCATATAACTCTCCCTTATGGTTGTAAGTTTCCTTTTCACTTTTGTGCCTCTGCTTTTATTAGGTATAGTGTAAGGACGTAGAGGAACGTCCGGTCGGAAGCAAAATTCTGCCAAAAAACTCGGTATTTGCTTGGTATTACTAGGTATTATTTGATAATAACGAGGAATACCGCTCTGTGAAGATCAATACCGAGCTATACCGAGCAATACCGAGTTGTACCGAGTTTTTTCTAGGAAAAACTCGGTACAACTTTTGTATAACTCGGTATAACTCGGTATTGGGTCTTCACGTGATGATATTCCTCGTTATTGTTTGGTATTGCTCGGTATTTCTCATTTTTTTGGCACGATTTGGCCTCCGACCGGACGTTCCTCTACTTCCGGTCGGGGGACGTAATAATTGCTTGGAAAGTTATTGGCGCCAAGGAAATATTTTAGATTATAAGCTTGTATTCTTACGCAATACTTTCGATAAAATAATTACAAAAATATTTGTTTCTCGGAGTAAACTTGTAATGCCTTATATTATTCATCTAGTCAAGTCAATGGGGTTTTATTAAAAAAATTGATGTCTATTAATAATAGAATCTTGGCTCGGAAGTTACTATCTAATTTAAATTTGTCAAAAATGATGGATTGTTCTTATTTTATTTTTTTTTGCAAAATTGGACATCGGTGAGCCCTTTTACATTATATCGAGTAAATTTTTATTGCATATGTGGACAATCAATGGCACAAGTATGATTACTTTAGTGGGTTGGTGTCCCATGATTTCGGAAGGTTGGAGATGGGTTGGGACGCTGAGGCGAGGTGATGTCAGATGTGGGAGGCGGAGGATGGGTCGTTGATTGCAAGTAGGGTGCAAGCGGGCCTGCGGGCTCGAGTGGTGTGTCGAGAGCGAGAGTGGGATCGAGCGTCATTTGTGCTAGTCACGTACACTGGAGGCGAGAGTAGGCTGAGTAAGTACAAAGCGTGATGGAAGAAGCTAATTTGCTAGAAGGAACACCCAACTAGAGAACAAACACATTCTCTAAGGCTTAAAATATCATATAATATTCATCTCCCTCCTACTCGCTTACATTAGCTATTTATAAAGTAAAATATAACATTCTAAAAAAATGTATGTTAGTTCTTAAGCTAAATATAATCCTACATTAATATATAGGAGGAAAAAAGGGTTTCTTAATACCATCATTCGATGTATTCAAGCCTGCATAGAAAATGTACACTACTCATTATGTATTAACGGGACCCTTGAGTGATTTTTCAACTCATCCTCTAAACTAAGACAGTGATGCACTCTATTTCCTTTCCATTTTCATATTGTCATTGATGGCTTATCTAACCTTTTTGAAAGTTCCATTTAGAGGAAATCTTATGAGGGAATCAATATAGGAAGGGAGCACCTCTCCCATTTGTTATATGTGAATGATCTATTAGCTTTTGAAAAACATTGCCTTCAAAATATGTAATCTCTTAATTGCAAAATGAACCATTTTAAGGATGCATCTGGCTTATGTATCAACCCCTCTAAAAGCTCCATAATATTATTTTCATCTTTCCTTGATCTTAAAGAGCTTTGTGGTGCTTTCACTATTGTAAACTTGCCTAGAGAAAATGCTTCTTTCACCTATATGGGTATTCTTATTAGTGCTATAAGGTTTCTTCTCTTTGACTTCCAACCTTTAATGAAAGAAGTTTCACTATTGCTACCTGGTTGGAAAGGTAGAACATTATCATTAGCCAAAAGATTGAAATTCCTTATATTTAATGTTTGAAACACAATTGTTAGTTGGATAAAAATAGTTGTTAAGCCAAAAACTTGAGTTATAAACATCTTACTTATGTGCAAGGTTTTTATATTGTTGATTTGGAAATCTTTCCAAATCTACATTAGCCTTGATTAGGAAGGCTTTTATTACCCATTGTGTAATTGATTAGGGAGTTGATTATTTTCCTAATTAAGCTGGTTTGATTGGGATTTAATTGGGGATTAGATTAGGAATTTTTTCGTAATTATTTTGCCTCAAATCTATAAATTGAGGGGTTTGAGGGTTGTTGCATAAGAGAGAGAGAGAGCTTGAGAATAATTGTAATCCCTATTTGTTTATTCATTATAGTGAAATCATCATCCTCTCCCTGGGGACATAGGCAACTTCGTTGAACCATGTAAATCATCATATTATTTGTGTTGCTTTGTTGTGTGTTTGTTTGCACAGCAATTAGTATTAAAGCCATATTTTGATGATTTTCTGATGATGGCGTGAAGAATGGAAGAACTTTATATTCATGTGGTTCATCCAGGTGAAGAAAGACAGATAGGTGAAATTCTGACTACATGAGACAACTACAATTTTTTGGAGGCTATGAGATCCAGCAGAGCCATGAATACATCCACCTTAATGTTGGAGAAGGCATTGATCCATCTGGTAGTTACACATCCTATCAAAATTAATGTTATGAAATTTGATGGCAAAGAAAACTCTGGCATGTGGCAATGTGAGGTGATGAATATGTTATATTCTTTGAATTTGGAGAAAATTCTGGAGAGTGATGAATGCCCAAAAGATATTTTAGAGAGAGAGATTGACTCAAAATGAACCGACGTGCTTGTGGCTTGTTCAAAATTTGCCTATATTAGGATATAAAGTATGGGTGATGATGGAGATTTTTGCTATAAAATAATAAATTTTTTTGGAGAATAAGTATGCGATGAAGGGCGTAATCATCTTCATATAAAGCGGCAGCTATACAAGCTTCAAATGATATATGGAATTACAATAGATGAGCATTTGAATGACTTAAAAAATTATTTACAGGTCTTTTGAATCTGGATGAGGATGTTAGATATGAAGACAAGGTGATCCTTCTATTGAATTTGCTCTTGAAAGAGTTCAAAAACTTCATGATGACACTCATTCATGTGAAAGAGGTATTAACCTATGGTGAGGTGACTACTTTATTGTTGAATCATAAATTCTGATGATGGGACAATGAGTCTGCAAAGATGGATTCAGCTAATGCTCTCACACTTTAATAAGGAATATTTGAGACGAAAAAAAGGATGGTAATAAACAATAAAAGTTTTGTGGGTTCAACCTCGAAAAGAATCAATGTGCTTTATGTTTTGAGACTGGTCATTGGAATAAAGATTGTCATAAGCTAAAGCATAAGGAAAATATATTTCTATATAGGCAAACTTTGTGTGAAGTCTCAGATGTATCACTATCTGTAGTTTCTCAGAGTTTGTATATCGATGATTCATGCTGGATTCTATATACTATTTCTACCTATCACATTTGTCTTACCATGGAGTGGTTTTATAGCTACAAGAGCTTGATAGTGGGGTTGTGACCATGGGAAATGATCAAGCTTGTCGTACTATTAGTGTAGGGATCATATTCATCAGAATGCATGATGTTGTTGTGAGAGAGCTGAATGGTGTGAGTCATATTTCATATATCACGAAGAATTTGTTTTTTATTGGGGCTTTATAGATCAATGGCTACAAGATAGGCCTTCAGACAGGAGTTATAAAGATGTATCATGGAGCGCTAATATTACTAAAATGAGTTCGTCATCACAATATTTATTAAATTTAAAGAAAAAATAGTGATTGGAACAACTATTGTAGCTAATTATTCTTCTGATGACACCAAATTGTGGCATATGTAGCTAGCTTATGCTGAAGAGGTTTCTCTTATGGTTTTGATAAAGAAATATTTGATCAAAGAAGCAAACACCTATAAGCTTTATTTCTATAAATATTATGTGTTTGGTGAGAAGGCACGTGTATCCTTTTGTACTGTCATCAACAATCCAACGGATATCTTGGAGTATGTTCACATAGATGTTTAGGGCCTGATGAAGAAAGCATTATTCGACGATGCAGTGATACTTTATGTCTTTTATTGTTGATTACTCCATATATATTTAGGTGTACACCATGAGTCGCAAAAGAGAGGTACTAGAGATTTTCAAAACTTATAAGAAGTGGATTGAGACTTAGAATGGCAAGAGGATATGATGTATCAAATCATACAATGGGGGGTGAATACAGTTTGAATGCATTCTTGTAGGAGTGTCAGAGATCTGTGATAGAGCACCACTTCATTATTAGAGAGTCATCGTAGTAGAACGGGGTGATAGAAAATATGAACTAGACTTTGATGAAGAAAGTTTAGTGTATATCATCTAATGTTGGGTCTAATAGAGTCTATCGAGCTAAGGTGATAAACTATGCCTATCACTTGGTGAACTCTCTGTCTTCTACAATTATTGGGAAGAAAGCCCCAAAGAAGTTCTGGTCAGGGCATCCTATCACAGATTATGAATGCATGAGAATGTTTGGGCATCCAACTTATTATCATATTATGAATGATTAATTACAATTGTAGGCAAAAAAGACGATCTTTATTGGCTTTAGGCATGGAGTCAAAGGCTTCAAACTCTATGATCTAGTATAGAGAAGATTATCATTAACATTGATGTTACTTTCGATGAGGTAAACATTTTGAAGCCTCAAGACTTTGAGCAAGTGGAGAGTTCTACTAGAACCATAGATGCACTATAGAAGTTGAAGTTTGATGCATATTTATTTATTCTATATAAGCCAATCATTTCTATTTAGATACCTATTTCAACTACACATCATGAGGTCGAAAAAATATTGAGTATGAGATTCCTACTCAGGAATCTATTGTGAAAAATAGGGGCAGGTGACAAAATGTCCCAAAACCAGCTTGGTTGAGGGATTACATTGCATTTGTACTTTCAACCACGGAGGTTAAAGTTCATTGTCTATATGAGGAAGCATTGGACAATCCTAATATTGATATAAGAAAAAGGGCTATGCATGAAGAGATGGGGTCTCTTTAGAAGGATGCTGCTTGGAGGTTGGTGAAGCTTCCTCCTGGAAGAAAAGCCATTGGGTGCAAATGGATGCATGCAAAAAAGGAAAGATCACATGAAGCAGATGCGCAACACAATAATAGGTTGGTGGCAAAAAGCTCTATGCAACAAGAAGGGATTGCATATGATGAGCAGATACCCTTAGTGGTAAAGAATCCCTCGACTCATGATCACTTGGTACTCGTAGCATAATATAGTTTGATTTTGGAGCAGCTTGATCCTGACATTGCATAAGCAGTTGACATCGTGAGCATGTCCATGTATGATCCATGAAGGAGTCATTGACAAGCTGTGAAGAGTATCCTGAGGTATCTGAAGGGTACAACCGATACATGCTTGATATTGGAGAGATAGTCACCACGACAATGGTGTAGGATTTATGAATGATTGCCCACTTATTTGAAGAACTACGCTCGGCTTGATCCCTTGGGGGGACGCAGGCAACCATATGGGTACAGTTGTTCTGATATTGGATCATGATTTGTCATCTTCAACTTTTTGAATTGAAATATAAGATGGAGATTGTTGATTCGAAAATATTTCCAAATATAGATTAGCCTTGAGTTGGAAGGCTTTGATGACTCATCTTGTAATATTAATTATTTTTCTGATTAAGTTGATTTGATTGGGAATTAGATTATGAAGCTTTTTTCCTTCATTGTTTTGCCTCAAATCTATAAATTGAGGGAGGGTTGTTGTGTATCATAGAGAGAGAGAGAGAGAGAGAGAGAGAGAGAGAGAGAGAGAGAGAGAGAGAGAGAGAGAGTAATCGTGATCACTATTTGTTTCTCTAATATAGTGAAATCATCATCCGCTCCTCGTGGACATAAATCTTTACCGAACCACATAAATCACCATGTTCTTTGTGTTGTTTTATTGTGTGTTTTTTTTTTTCTGCTTTGTGTTTGTTTGTACAACATTTATATCACATTGACATGCATTCAAAGAATATTCATCTTATTTCTCAGAAAAACACGCGCATGCCTCTTAAATTTGGAGGTCTCGGCATGACCGTTCCCAGTAACCTTAATTATGCCTATACTTGCTCTTTGATCTAACATGTCCTTAAAACTTGCAATTTGTTATCAAAATGGTGGAACCATAAGTACACCTCGTTCTAGAAAATTGAGCAATAATTAAATAACTAATTGCTGAAATGGTTTAAAAGTGGTTGCAAATAAATTCAAAGATTTAAAACTATAAATACACCTGTAGCTTTTCATCTTTTATTTTTAGCCTAAGCGAGATTATATATGTTTTGCCCTTGTTTTATGTCTGTGAGTGGAAAATCCTCCTTCAAAATGTTTTTGTATTAAAATTTGCCTTTCTGGTGTTAAGATTGCATGCTACCTATCAATTCGTTGTTTGTTCTACTTTTCATAGAGAGAAAGTATTAGCATAAGATTTGTACATAAAATATATATTACTCCGTGGATTCAGTTTAATAAGACAATTGAGCTATAATATTTAAGGTGAAAAGACTTTCACGAAACTGAAGGCTTATTTCAATGATATTGGGTTATTCATGTTTCATTTATGGACGATGATAATCAATATTTGTTCTCTCCATCTAACATATTATTCCTTTAATCTCATAGACGGCCTTGGTATTATGCTCAGGCAAACAGGGGCGCCCTTGGTTTTACATTCGCTCTCGATTTTCATTCATCGGTAATATTTTGTTCCATTTGAGTCAAGTTTATCTTCATAATTGTAATTTATTTGAAAAAAAAAATCTTCTTAATAATTGCAGCTTTTATAATTATATGCATTATAATAATGAAAAAGAGATGATCCTTTAATTTACCCCAAAAGAAAAATTATTGTATGATAATAAAATCATTTCAATCACTATAGAACCCATATAAAGAATGCAGCTCAAATATTGCACAGCCTTCCCGCGCAAGCATCTCATTTCTAAACCCTAACCCAAAGCAGCCTGCTTCGTTTCGTTCGATGCCTCTTTCAATGGCAGAAGTGCGCATCATCACCATATCCGATCTCCTGTCCCTCTCTTTACCCCTCACCGGCGTCACTGACCTCTCGCTCTCCCTGTCTTCCTGCTCTCCCCCCTTAAAGAAACACAAGCACCAACCTGCTAAAGTTATCGAGGCCGAGAATCTCACCAATCTCCTAATCTGCAACAAGCATTTAAACCCCGAGCTCTTCTTCACTCCCTTCAAATGCCCCGTCGTACTCGTGGGCACCGTAGATCTCCCCACGGATCCTTCTGATCACTTCTTTTCATTCTGCGATGGTTCCTCTATCGTATCCTGCGCCATTCTTGATTTGGACCTCAGGATCATCGGATGCAAAGTACATGTTCTCGCTTGGAATTTCCTTCCTTTCAAGGACCGGAGGGGAGGGCTCCTGGAAGTAATTCGATGGAGCACTTTTTCACCATCGCTCGCGATGCCCAAAGACATGCCTGTTCTGTCTCTGCGGAAAGGTGTGGAATTGTCGAGCAAAAAAGGCGTTGTGGGTGTTCTGAGATCAGTCAGCCCAGTATTCACCGTTCCTTGCCGAAACACCGGGTCTGATTCGGATTCTATTGGTTTTCTTGCAGAGTTATTTACATGCAAGTGTAATCTTTGCTCCAAATCATTTTATATGTATCGTTTCGATTATTCTCTATGGATTCAGAATAGCCATTGCTTTTCTGTCTCCGACTTTGTTTACTTTCTAGAGCCTTCTTCTGGGTGGCGTCTTGCGCTTGCTAAACTTGTTGGGAAGGTTGTTATGGTCTCAGGATTGAAGAGAAAGATGATCTTTGTTGGTGAGAAGATATCGTATGCCATGTACGTCACACCTTTGGAAACGTCGGTTTCGTTAGGTCGGTTACCTTTGGAGGCTATGCAGCTTGGAGAGGATGTTAGGGCAAAAATGATTGAGGATGGTGCAGTTTATAATGGAATTATTACTCGAGTTTACATGCAAGGGATGGCTGTTGAGTTGGATGATAAGGTTTGGCTTTTGGTCACTGATAGCAACCTTGCACCACTAGCGGCTCTAAGGGTCGGTGCTATTGTAAGTTGGCTATATTGGAACTTTTGCACTATCTATGAATTGACGTTGGAATGCCCTTTGTAAGATGAACATTTCTTGTGGTTTATTAGTTTAATGACAAGTGGGGAACTTGTTTTTTGTAATTCTAGGAATGCTCTAACTCTTTTGCTCAATTAATCCATCTCTTTATTTATTACTCTCCTTTTTTTGATATTTGCTTGCCTTGTAGATTTCTTTCTGTTTTTTTTTTTGGTTCATCCTGTTATATCATCTTTTTTTTTTTGGGTACTTGCTTGTAGATTTCCATTCAGAACTTTCAATTGGTTCGTTCTGTATTGTCTTGGATTGAAACCAATCTGCTTGTTTGTTGTTCCAGAACTGCCATAGATGTGAAGTCTTTTTCAATTTCTGATACCAGGTAAAACCTGTTTTTTTATGTATCTCAAGTTCAAATCCGCGATGGACATGGCATTTACATTTGTGCTATTTGTGTTTACTTGAAACAGGTGTCACTTTAGGTCTCAAAGTCCGAGCTTGCTACTGAGGTTTATCGAATCTCTCACACCTACTGCTAAATTTTGGTATATCTGTTATTGATTTTCATGTTCATGCTTCCTACTGCTATTATAAACATTAATGACCCATGATTCGCACTTTTCTTGTTGAATAGCAGGTCACTACTCTTGATCTCTTGTTTCAGAAGAAAATTTGCCAAGCTCTTATCTAACAAGGAAATTCTTGGCTCAAGAAATGTAATTTGCCTTTTGCATTGTAGTTGCGGAGCTTTTTTTTAGTTATTTGTAAACTTTACAGTTAACTGGGAAGCTGTTGATCAAAAAAATCAAACTTGATTTGCTATAATACTCCCGGTTCAGATTGGCTGACTATCTGCGTTTTTAAGTTACCTCCAGAAGGAAGGACTGGTTCAGGCTTATGCACGTGCATATTTGCATTCAAATTTTATTCAACCTCAAGTGAGTAATCTGAATTCTATGCTGTTTTTTTTGTCATCTTTATTATTATATAATATCAGTTTCTAAATGTTTTCTAGGACTTGAATTGGTATACTTTGTAATAAGATTGCTGTTCCTTGTGACAGCATGGGATTTTCATGGACTTTTGCCAACATGGGCAGTCTGCTATCAAGTATGAAAAGAATGGACCACCCCTTAAGCTGGTGAAATCTGTATTCTTTCCAAATTTGTTTTCTATCTGGCTCACACTTGCTTACTTAAGTGGCTGTTCGAGCTTTTGATTGCTGCAGAAAGCTGCTCACTTTGAGTAAATTTTGCGCACAGGTAGTACCACTATCTAACTTTATCATCAAATGTGAAGTGATATGGGCATCGGCGTTGAAGGAAATTCCGTGTCATGGTGGAAAACCTACAATTGTAGACAATGTGCCCTGCGAAGGAATTCCTTCGTCTCCTATGGTTAGAAGAATTGTATCAAATGACATTTTTGGCTGCATTTTGATGGGCATTATCAAGGTTAGCAGAGACATGCACGTAGATGTGCAACTAGGCATGTTCTGATAGATTTTTTTTTTCTTATTTTTTATTTATTGTGTTGACCGTTTGAGAATGGATCTGGCGACTTGTTTGATTTCCATTAAAACTTACAATCACCAGTAATGCTAATCTTGCTTTTTATCACAATTGACTCTTGATCTCTTGACCTAGTAGAATGTTAATTTATTTTCCTTTTTTTGCAATAATCTGAAGAACTAGCATTGCAGTGATCATAATATTTCACAACTTAAAATTTTTTTTTTAATGTTCAGATCACCTCTTCAGGGAAGCTGCAGCTTTTTGATTCCACTGGAAGTATAGATGTTGTGATACCAGATATTGTTTCCGGTTTCCATTGTCAGGGCATTCATGAGGTGATAGACTGCCGACTTACTCCGCGTTCCATCAGACTTATTGCTCCTCTATTAGCAATGATTTACTTGCACTTTTTCATTGCTTTAATACAGCCTAGGCTCTGTTTATATTTAAAATTATAATTTTTTGATATTTTTTTAATTATACCGTTTCCAGTCATCCACTATTGCTATCTTGATTTGCATGATTTTATTTAAGTATATATTTTTTGGTTTTAGTTTCATTTTTTTTTAAAGTTTAAATTGAAAGCAACAATTTTCATCTCCATTTTGCTTTTATTGTCAATGAATAGTTCATGCTTGATTCATTGTTTTGTTTTGTTAAGGCTTTGTATTATACATAACTTTTTTGAATGCGTCAACAATCGTCAAAGGACAACTATTTTTTGGCTATGTTCCATTTGGGGAAGGGTGTGGCTATAGGTGTTTCTAAAAGTAGGTGTAAAATTGTTGCGGTAAACATAGATTTTTATTTTTTTTTAAACATTGATAGGGCTGTTATATTTCTCATTCATTTTTTATATAGCCAGACCATAATTTTTTTACCGCTACCACTAGGATTGTAAATGACCAATATGCTCAATGAACTACTCCCAACTCAGATTGGTTAGAGCTCATTAATGAATGTTTAATTAATTAATATAACAGGTTTGAACATTTTATAAATACTTGATTGACAAAGAACATGCTTGACCAAGTTGGTGTTTAATTGTCTATGATTATAAATGATATCATTTAAAGCTCATGAATAAGCTTCTTAACAAGCTCAATAATATATTCATCTAAGAATTGATTACAAATTTATTTAAATGTGTTTATGTGGGACTTCTATTATTTTTTGCAACACCAGCTACTTGTTTAAGCTTGTTAGATTGATTGCTTGTTTATTAGTTTTTTCAGTTAAAGTCTTATATTTAAGTAGGGCTGTAATCAAGTCAGGCCAAGCTGAGTACATTTGGATTTGATTTGGTTATATTACAAGTTGTTCATGTCGGCTTGAGCTTGATTTGAGCTTTCATGTATATGTTTGTATTGCTTGTTTAGATTTTTCTATGCTTGAACTTGGTTTGCTTAAGTTAATCAAGTACGTACTTAAACAAGCTAAAAATTTGAGCGAGTACCTGGCTTCTTTTATTAACAAATAATTTAACAAGAAAATGAATAAGCAATTTAATAAATCTTGAATTATATTATAATTTTTTGACACTTATTAAACCAAAAATGAACAAACAGGTAACAAGCTTTCTTGGAATTATATAATATAAATAAGTACCAACAGAATCATTCATTGAAATGGAGAAATAAGAAGTAATTGCATTAAATTTATTTAAATTCTTATAATAATCTTACCAAGCTGTCAAAAAATTTTTCTAACACTAATTTGAAATGAAGGGCACCAGATAGACGGTTTGGATATGTTAAAGTTATTATGGAAGCAATTAATTAATTTGAATTTTATACAAGAATAAGAAAGCATTTCCATAGACTTAGTTGTAATATTTAGATTAAATCATGCCAAATATTTTTTTGGAGCAAGCAAGTCAAATAGTTGTAATGTAAAATTTTGAGAGTAGTTGAATTTAGAAGATACAAGGTCTTTCGCTTGTTATGAATTGCTATTTCTTTCACAGTACCTCTGCTCCTTCATATGCCTCTAGTTTCATGAATTCTTTCTCTAGCTAGCTCTTGTTGTGATTGTCTTAGGTTGTCTTGGTCATTGAGGCCTCAAGAGTTTTGGGATTTTGAAAATATGGGATGGGAACTGGAAAAATAGCCTAGATTAATAAACAAAAATATAATATATTTCTAATAAATAAATAATCAATCAAATTTTAATTAAATAATACACAAGCTATTATAGAGCTTAATATCAAATATTTAACAAGCTATTTTTTATTTTGTTTAATAACAATCGAGATTTTTGCTAAGATGAATAAATGGGTTGAACTTTGTTAAGCTTGGTCTATTTAGCCTGAGTTTGAAAAAAAAAAAAGAATTTGTTTAATTACTAATTTGAATGAACTTGAACGAATTTTAATCGAATTTTGTATGAGTTATTCATCTAGCACATTGGTTCACTTACAACTTTGCTAGACAAGTCAAGCAGATTGAGGTTTATGCTATGTGACTTTATATTTTAGGTTAATGATTGATTTGGCTCTAGGCCTGATGAAAGCTTACATTAGGACTTGGTTATGTTGACGATGAGTCCAGACATTTTGATCATGCTAATGGAGATCATTAACATGTTCGGCTTTCTTGGAGGCCATAAATCATCTTTCACTCCCATGTTGTTAGAGTTTGGGCTTCTCTATACAGGTTAATTTTCATATATGAGGTTTTGTGTCTTTGATGGTTGAGTTCGTCCATTAGAGGAGGGTTGTTTTTGTTGTATGGGTATGTGAGTGAAACAGAGATTCTGCTTCAGGAATGTTGTTAGGCTTTTTAACTTTATTTAAACTGGTAGTAAGAAACATACCTCGTCTCAGAGCTGCTATAGCCAAAGAATAATTGAGAAAAATGAAGGAAAAGTATTGAAATTTTGCTATTTTTTATGGATAATAAGAAAGTGTTGAAAGATGTGGTTTTATTTTGTCTTCTTTATGTGTTAGTACTTATGGCTAATCTCTGGTCCAAGGACCTTGTATTGTTCCCTTCTTGTCATCTGTATCATGCTCCATTTCTCTCCTATCCACAATAAATATTCATGGAAGCGATATCCTAGTTTGTCCTAACTTATTATGAAATTTCGATCAAGTGTCAAGCAGTTTACGGCCCCTATTCATGTAATTGTAAGACATTAATCTCGGTATTTGACCTGATAAGTTGATGAACTGTTTTATTATTCATGTACTGGTTTGGGATGTGAGAAGATATGAAGCTGTAGAACAACCTCCATCTGCCCCTAGGTCTTATTTTTTGCCTTTCACTTCAAACTTTCTTTATTTGACTTAATGTTTCTGCGAAGTTGATGCTAGAGAACATAAATTAAAATTTTATGTTTCTCTTTTTGGTGCCTTAGAGGTCCAAAAGTTTGGAGAAATTCATTGATGGTTCTTTGGGTTTTTTCTGCTGTACTTGAATTACATATATTTATGGTTTTGTCAGTAGCAATGCCTGTTGGTTTACTTTCTTTCGTGTATGTTGTTCGAGTTATGCTTCCAAACACTACAAGTCTCTGCCAACTAAGTGCCAGCATATTGAATTTGCAACTCATATTTTAGAGTTGTAGCCATCTTATTCATATAAATATCTTGAAATAGCACATTTTCTCTAGCATGTCATCCTACTTTTGTTCTTTTTCTTCTTGTTTAACTAATGATTTTCATTGTTTGAAGAGTGATCTAGTCTATTCCATCACTTGATTTGATTATCATAATGAATAAAGTTTTTTTTTTTTCAGGTTAAAGAGTTTAAGGTTGTCCTAGAAGGCCCATCCATGCAAGTAGAATCTTCCGAGTTGCATTCTGCCGAGCTACTTTCATGCAGGAGTTTTTTTGATGAGCTTCCTGTGAAGAAAAAAATCAGTCAACTAGTTGTTTATGTTGTTTTTTATCTTAAGAATTCGACTTGTCTTAATGCGCCTATTAATCTTCCTTTATGCACGGTCGATAAGAGCAATACTAATGCTAGTGGAATTGCACACCTGCTTCTTGTGACCCACAAATTTCCTGCTGCAAAGAATGTATGCTTCATTGTACTCTCAATTACCCATATTTTTCTTGTTTTGTTTTACAAAGGTGTATTGTTTATTTCTGTTTGAATGCTGTTGCAGTGTGAGTTTGACAGCGATGCATCACACAGCTCTAGCTTGTTTTCTGAGGCTTTACTTTTGCCTTATGATGCTATTTTCCATAATGAAGATGCACACAATCACCCATCTGGCCATTCCCTACAGAAGTTAGATGGAGAGCCCGTTTATTTAAGTGAACTTAATATTCCACAGTTGAGATGTTGCAGAAAACCAAACTTTGTTGAATCAATCTGGGATTCACCTGATTCTAAGTATGATCTTAAACGGGCTGAATTGAGGCCCGTTTTTGCTTGTTTGCTTACTTTTGGCAGTAGTCCTCAAAAGCCTCATTTTACCGGATATTTATGCAGTAGAGGATGTTCTGTGCTGGAAAATAAGTCTGTTGGTCTACATCCAGTTTTGTTAGAATTCATATCTGATAGCTTCATCAAGTATCAGGTGCATTAGTTTCTTTGCCCTATAGGAATCCATTTAATAATATTTTTCTTTAAATATATATATATTTTTCAAATATATGAACTCGTCTACCCTGCTATAAACATGATAAATTTGTCTTTTTTGAAAACCTCAGTCACTGCAAATTGGTGGGTATTACATGATGAAGTGTTCCAAAGAATGTCCTTTATGTTTTCAAAAAGTCAAGAACAAAGAAACTTCTTCCAAGGTTTTATTGAGTTCTAAAACGTCTCTTTGGAAAGTTTTTTTCTCATTTGGCATGGATCAGCATCAAGAACAACCAAGGTATCAGACTTCCAGCGACAATTTAATTAGAGAGTATCAAACAGATTTGGTAAATGTCTGTGAGAGTGATCTGGAGTTCCAACCGTCATGCACTCTACTGAATGATATTTCAGATGTGCATTTAGCAATCACTCGGGACTCGATGGCGCCTTTGAGCCAAATAGACCTCTTAAAAGAGGAGTTACTCAATCACTTCTCTATGCTGCAGGAGGTTTTAACAGTGACATCATTTATTCAGATTATGAAGTCTGACAAATCAAGCTCTTCAAGTCATGCTAATTCACAACATGGAAGCTTGGTCAATTCAAATCTCATTTCAATTCGTGGAAACATAGAGAACATGCATTTATTTTTCAAGTTTGGGTCCTTTATAAGCAATGAAAATGTAGTCCATAGTCATAGGAGAGACGAGTGTATCTGTTTACATGTCTATGATGATCAAAACATGGTAATTGACCTTTAGTTATCTTCTATTTCTGTTCTTCTGTTCATTTATTTAGTCAATTGATTCACAATTTTCTGCTTCAGATTTATATACAAGGTAAACTACATCATTATACTTATCCTGTTGGCTTGGGCCCTGGAGTAAATGCAACATTTCACCGGGTACTTTTGAAATGGTATGCATCGTTCCTCTATTACAAATTGAGTTTTCTCTGGAACGTCTATGCTGCAGATTATTAGATACATAATAAAAATGTGATTAATATGCCTTCCCTTGATCATACTTATAGAATGCGTTTTTTAAAAAACTATGCATAAGTTTTTTTTTTTTTTGGTGAGATAATTGACAACCTTATCATATTTTACATAAGTTTTTTTTTTGGTGAGATAATTGACAACCTTATCATATTTTACTATGAACTAAAGTAATAAGCTTTGTTTAGACGCGCCATGCACTTTTTCCTTTTAGGATCCGTTGGTTTCTCATCCATTGAGCTGTTTGATGAGTTGATACTGCAGAGTGTTAATTGTTTGAAGATTTGAAGTTTCTATATTTTGGCATGTTTTTAGGAGCAAGTTTGGGTAGCTCAGAAAGTGCTTAGCCAAAAACCCTATAAGTACTATAGAATGAATGGAATTCTAGCCTATTCATATGGTTTTGTGGGACTAAGTTCCATGTGTATTGAATCGAGTTTTAGTCATTGGGAGAATTTTGCCATGTCATAGTTATTTGGAGCAATCTAACTAGCCCATAGAGGGTTGGAGTCCTAGGTTCTTGTCCAAATACTAATAGTACTAAGGCAGTGGGCCCTTAGCCCCTACCACTTGTATGAGGTTAAAGTTTTTTTTTTTAATTTTGGTATGCCCGTTTCTAGACGTATTTATTCATGACTCCTAAGGTTAATTATTTTATGACATTTGCAGAGTTTTCATTTTGATGTTGTTTAAAATATTAATTTCTTTAATCTTTTTATTTTAAAACTTTTATGAAATCTAGTGTTTCAGTTGCGGAAATTTAGCTAGAGTAAAAAATATAATTTTATTTTTCAAACTAGATCACGAACTTCGTTGTTTTTTAAATCATGATAAAAACTATATATATTTTTGACATAGAATTGAAGCAAACTGGGTAGATTATATTTTTCTTAAACAACAATATAAACGTTACACTTACACTAGGTGCACAGGTATATAGTTATTAAGAAAAATGGCAACATAAATGGAGTTGAACTAATATGAGGGATGCTTTTTATTTAGAATTACTAGCATACGGGGTAAAATATAAGGCAGTTTTTGGTTCTTTATGCTATTTGTTTCAATTTGTTCAGCCTATTATTGGGCTTATTATCACATCTCGTGAACTTGTTCGTTTGGATTTAAATTATCAATAATCCTTAATGAGGAATTTAAACATTTCTAATATGACTAGAGTACAACCTATGTTTTTTTTTGGCTATAAACAGCTTATTGCTTGTTGAGGAGATTCTTTACATAGCTGTGAACCAGTTGTAGGTCCGTAGTCATTTAGAGATTTCAATTCATGCATTAGATGACGACAGCAACGACATCAAGCCTTTACATGATTTTTTTTCTCTATCGTGTCCTATCAAGTGCCAAATTCTCATTTAAATTTAATAAACAAAGATCATTTCTATACTTTCTAACCAAGTATTTTTAGGTCAATTTGAGCATTGGAGCTAAATTAAAACATAAAACCCATACTTAAGATTGCTAGCTATAGATCTCAAAATTTTCTATGTATGCCCTTATGAAATAGTTGCTTGTAGCATAATTGATACTTGTGTTGTCACATGTGTTATTTTCTCTTCAATGATTTCATTTTAATCTATTTCTTGAAACTTATTTACTTAACTTTGATCTTATATTTCTAGACTCATCTGAATAATGAAATAGTTTCTTTTTTTTTCCCTTAGTCAAAGAAATGATTTTAGAACTATCTTCTAATACATTCATTGTTCCAGCTCTTCAGATGGATTCCCCAAATTGGTTCTGACCTCTGTATCATTTGTTGTAATTAATTCTGTGAAAGAAACTGGCTTTCTATACAGTAAACGACTGACCATGCGGCCTCAGTTTGATAGGAATAGTGAGGACACTCTCAACTCTGTTTCACTAAGTTTGATCTCAAATTTAGTTCAATTAATGGACATCAAGCGTGTTCGGTTGCTCAGCAGGGTAATGCTGTGTATTGTTTCACATAATTATGATTATTTTTATTGGACATTTGGGTGCCTGATAGTTTTACACAATTTTTTTCTTTTGTGTGGCAAGGTTGTAACAATCCATTATCTTGTGTTGAAAAAACTTGAACTTGATCATGGAAGATCAGGATCAAGAATGGAGATAAAGATGCCATCAATCAAGATCTCCTTAGCTGGATTTTTGTTGGGTAAGTTTTGCTATTAGATATATAGTGAATTAATTTGCAAGGTTGTTATTCTCCTACCATCAAAAGAGGGTAATGTGAATTCAATTTTTTTTTTAAATACTCCTCTAGATAATTCTTGTCATTGATGCGTGAATTCTATTACACCAAGTGTTTGAAAATAGAGTTAACAACGCTCACACATAAAGATAACACTATTTCTACTAGCAATGCACAAATAAAATAATATATTTAATATAAAAACTTTAAGAGCCTTACATTTTTGTGCCGTATACATGTTGAACACACATCAAACTCATCCAAACATGGATTTGACACATCAAAATTGTGTATAATATGTTTGTTTTCCAAATTTTGAGTTAGAGATGAGCAAGACTTGAGTTAACATGGTGGGGACATGCACAAGATAATTTTTTTTCCAGTAATTTTTGTTGATCGTCAATCGATTTTATGTTGATGAATATCACCAATCGATTTTATGATGAGCTCGAAAATCACTTCAGCTCATGAAGAGCCAATGTCTGGCTGGGATTATCACTAGGATTCACTCTCAAACAGTTTCTTGCAAGTAAAGTCGTGGCACATGTTCTCTAACCGGTGGTTTTGCTGCCAAATTACATCACATGTAAACAGTTATAACTGAGACCCTCTGAATTGGGTAGTTTTGCTGCCAAATGGCACAAATAAATTACAGTCATGGTTAGAGCTCATAAGCTCCCTAATGATTTTAAATCCTTGAGTAATGAATCAATATGATATAATCGATAGGGCACAAAGCCCTCTGTCAACTAAGGTGGACTCAAATTTATCTCCTTAGACAAACATTCACCCCAGGTCTATAAGGTACTCTTGGACGAAGCAATCCATGGTTGCCGATAAGGATCCTTATATTAGGTTGGGTTGACTACCTCTTTTGACTAAGTAAACTAGGAACCATGATGGCTCAGGATGATTGAATCAAGGGATCTTGATTGGGCTAATCATCATTTTCCCCCATCATCTGCTTTAACTAAAAAGATAGTGAAGTTTATAATTTTAAATATCAAATCCTTAAATACCAACTCATGCTCCTACTATACGCCAGATGTTTTATATATATGGATACCACGTATCTGTTTGAAGACTAACCTTAACCGAAAGTTCTCTCTAGTTATTGAGAGGGTTAATTAACTATATGGGCTTGCTCCTATGAACTCAAATCATAAAGTCATCGTAAAATGAGGGCGAGCTATGGGTGATGTCTTATTCACAATCCAATCTGCCTTCTGAACATTTATCCCAGAACCTACTTGTTAAAATTCTCCTCGACGACCCGAAAATGAACGAAAAAGAAATAAAGGGGTCTGCGGAGAGGCCAGGGTGCAAATTTTCGGAGCCCACAATTGATGATTTTGATGTAGATTTGGAACACCTTTGTATAAGTTTGTGGAATAGTTTGAACAATGAGCATGCTTTAGATTTTATCCCATGTACCAACAATCCCTTTTATGGTTATTAATAAGTATTATAAATCATCCAGTTCTTACTTCTTATTAATTAGTAGAGTTCTAACAAGTTCTCCAATGTTACTATGAATTAGGTGGAAAGGTTTGGATGGTTTACATGGCTGTAGTGAAATGTTACTTCGGGTTTGTTTAGCAAGAGCACATGTTCTACAATTGAGGAGTATATTTTTTTGTTCATAAATATTTTTAGATGTATGTTTTATCGGTAGAAGAAAACTAGGATGCTCCAAATGCTTATGCCATAATGTAATATTGGAATTTGAGGAGGCAACAAGACCCACACTATTATATGGAGGTTATATGGAGGTTCAATGGTGAAAAGCTAGTATAGCCCATCATTTCATCAGAACTGCCAATCATTCTCCTTAAACTAAATCTTAAAAAATATAATGGAGGAAAAATCTATCATTTTATATTTCATATCTTTTATCTACTTACTAACTGATTATAAATTGTAACCTAGGCACATATAAACATCATTCAATAGCATGTTTGACACGAATTGTTTCTCATCCCACAGCTTGAGATATCCTACTATCAGTCAACATGCATCAATAAGCTGACCAATCCTAGTGTAGGTTTTGAATGCATTTGGTGATCTTATAATATGATAAAATGATCTTGTATCAACAATTCAACATGTTTAGATTTCTCAGAGCAAGAATAATCTGTTTTCCCTTATTGTGATGTGGAAAGCATAATTTTCTTTACTTCTTGTGTGTCACTTAGAAGCTCTGATAATGTATCCTGTCTTCTCTCTTTCTCTTCTTAGAAGCATGATTGATTAGAATCATTCATAAATTTAATTAAATCCAATTAGCCTGTGTCGAGTTATTTGTAGAGATTGACTTACATACATATGGCGAAAATTTAATCAATGCCTCTCGTAGAGGAGATGTCCTGAATTGCTAAGTTTTATGATCCTTGACGGAGCAAGAAGGAAAGACACCTTTTGAGTAGGTGCAAACTCCAAGACATAGGAGAGAGAGAGGAGAAAATAGGAATTTCTTATTCCAAACAAAATTGTATAGCAATATGAGAACTATTTATAGAAAAAACAGTGAACCAAATCCATTGGGTCATTTATTAGACTGATTAGGTAAAACTGTAAATTAAAAAAAAAACAACAACAACAACAACAACATCAAGCCTTTATCCCACTAAGTGGGGTCGGCTACATGAATCCTTTTTCTCCATTGTGTCCTATTAAAAGTCAAATTCTCGTTTAAATCTAATAAAGAAAGGTCATTCCTTAGTCTTCAAAACTGTAAATTAAAAAAAAAAAGTATTAAAACATTATGTATGAATACATATAGTGCTTGGCAGTTTGCTGTCTATTTTTATGAAGATGTATTTGTTTCATTCAACTTTCTTTCTCTTTGTTGATAAACCTTTATAATCGTCTTGTTGTCTTTTGATCATTCTTCCAAATATTTAACCCAATTGTTGCAATGTTTCTGCACCGTCTTTGTATCCAATTGAATGTATTGTTTCTTAACACTGAGCCTTCATGGAGTGCCATGATCTCCAATGGAATTTCACTTACTGTTAAAAACATGCCTGTGATACCATGAACAGACTGCAAAATATGAAAGAACAAATTTTCTCTTACATTTCTTATTGAAATACATAATATTTATACACTGTTACCTAAAATCAGTAAAGTGATTGAAATATGAAGTAATTAAACCATATTTGCTCCCCTTATTTCTTATATAGCGTGAATGTTGAGAATAGTTGGAGCTACACCTATGGAATGAATTGATGCCTATTAAAGTCAATATGACATTGTATAACTCATGGACAACATATTTTCAACCAAAATACATGAAATTATGTCTGTGATCTGGCCGGAAGCATGGATTGAGGACTTGATTTTGCTAAAGATATGAATTAAGCTTTCATGCATTGCCGTGCTTCCAACAAAGGAGGCATAGTGGAAGGAGCGGCAAAAGCTGAAATGGAGAGTTTTTGCGTTCAATTAAATTTTAGCTTTTCCAAATTAGCTTAGTGTAAAAATAAATAGCTTCTCCTGATTTTACTGGCACATGTCAAGTATGATATCTGTTCATCATCACGATGGCTTGGTGCATCTATCATTGAAATACATAATCAGAAAATGATTTGAAGCATTTTGGATATTTTGCTGGATATTACTGAGGGGTTTTGAACTTAAATTCTATAGAATCATATCATTGGGTTCATCTGCATTAACTCTTATAACGAATTGCATAAAAGTGAATTGTCTATTTGTATTTTATTCATTTAAAATTTTTCTAGTTTAGATGATGGGTCATCTTTATGCTGTTGTTGGGCTGATGGCGAGCGAGCAGAAATGCTGCTTCGATTAGATAAAATTTCATGCCATCCATTCTTCCAATTTGGTGACAATTCAGTGAAGAAAAGTTTTAGATATCATGAAACGATTGGTCATCAGTTGGAAAATATGCTAAGAAAGCACCAAAAGGTTATTATGAAAAACCATAGAGCAGTACCAGATGTTTCATCTTTGGATTTTACGTTTTATGTTGATTCCAGTGAAATCTTCAGCAGTGCAGAGGAGAGCCTTCTCAGATTTGTCATTAGCAATGCTTGTCAGGGATCAACTTTTGTAAGTTTGTCATTCCTCTTTTATGTGAACTAGTATGTTATAGTTTTCTCTCTTCGTGTACAAGATCAATAAATCTCATTATTGCATAGCATGTATCCTTGATTCGACTGGGCTGATCCATGGGCCTGCAAAGCTATCCTATAACAGCTCCTGGTAGGCTTTGGCAAAAATGCATGCAGCAAGCTTTACGCTTTGTAGTTTAGAGCATCTACATTGTTTATCCTCCAAGTTCAAGGGTTTTTGGCTTTAGCCTACCCAAAAGATCAGTCTATTTACTATGTTCCCTTCTTTTTGCTTTGACCTTTCCTTCATTTCTTTATCTGATGTATATTCTCTCTTCTTTTATTCACCACATCGCCCTGGATTTTCTGCTTTGACGTTTCATTCAACCCAATCTCTCTGCCTGGTTTCAATGCTTGAGATTGGATAATCAACTGATGAAACCATTCTCACCGTCTCTATGTTTACATGGGCTGTTCTTGCAGAGAATCCTGGGCATGGCAATTAGCAATTATAGTAGCAATGCATTCAAATCTTTTCTTAAGCTCGTTTTCTTGTTTTGGCAGAATATTAGTGGTCATTTGATGGATTCAACTGCTTTGGGTTTGTTGGACATGGAAAGTAAGGATTTGCAGGATATAGTACGGCCATTACCTAATATTTGGGCTGCAGAAATTCAGCACAATAATTCCCTTAAACAAGCTAGAAAGTTGCTTGATGAGCTTTCAACTGGATAAGATAGGTATGCTTGAACTATTCAACTTCAGATATTACCGGTGTATTTGTGCCTCAAGTTTGATTTCCCTGATGTGCTCATCTTTTTCTTAAGGACTAGGGTTAATGAATACAGTTTTCTGAAACAGGCTCTCTCCAGGTTGTTTAGTGATACTTGAAGCACTTTGCAGTTGAGATCTATACGGCTGCTGATTATTCTAAAGTTTGGCTGTTGAGATAGGAGAACAAAACTATTACAGTGTGATCATTGCCAATTGCTGCTCATAGGAATATTGGAAATTCCAAATTAAGGAGCTTATTTTTAAGACGCCTATGAACTGACTTCCACTTGACAGCAATTCATTCATTGTTGCATATATATGCATCTAAGATGAAGTGGCCAGAAAGTTATGGATCTCCTTCTCTGTGAGTTTCCTTTTCATTACTGTCTATATTTGACGTGCATGCCATTTTCAATGATGCTGTTCTTCTTTAATTTGTTTATGGAGATGATTTTTATGGTGCACTTCAAAATAATGAATAACCACCTGATAAATTTTTTATGTTCTTAATAGGGAATCTCATATGCATATGAATAAGCTAATGTTTTTTAATACATATTTTTGAATGATCATGGGATTCATGAAGGAACCAATCATGATAGGGATTGTCAAACTCATACATTAAAAGTTCTGATTATTGGATTGATCCATTTTTTACCCTTATATTGAAATCTACGCGACTACGCGCCTCTTCATTTTTTAGCCCTCGTCCTCTCTTGGCGTCTTTTTTTTCCCTTTTGATATACTTTTAAGTTATTTTTATTATAATACTTTTAAAGACGTCTATATGTACTTTCACATGTTGTATATAATCATATATAGAATTTAAAGTAATTATGGTTACTTTTATATTTTTCTGCACATATAGAGTTCATATAGGTTTAATATAAATGCATAATTATTTAGAGAATCTTGCATGTAGGAATAAATTATGAAAGGCGATGTGTGCACTAAGGGCATCTCCAACCGAATTCTATACGTTTGTTTGGCGTCCGTGAACTTCTCCAATCGAACGGCAAAATACGCGTCATTCTCTCGTTCGTGAACAGTGTAATCCAATATTGGCGTCGCACTGCTTACAAACACATTTTTGGTGGAAATAGAGCGCGGAGGGGAGAAAGTCTAGCGTTTGTGGTTGAGAAAGAATATATACGAAATATTCTTTTTTGTGTTAAGAAATAGAGTTCAATTGAAGATGAATTACTGCATTTTGAAGTATTACTGCATTTTCGAGTGGAAAATGAGTTTTTCATTTGGAGATGATCTAAGATGGGGCAGTTGAAGCGTGCTATAAACTTATATTTACTTGTTGAGAAGGGAAGAAATAGGGATATAAATTGAAACAACATATTCAGAAGAACAGATAGATTAATGCCTTAACGGCAGCGAGTTAAGGTAAAGAAATAAATGATCTTATGGCATGGAGAAAGAGGGAGAAATTAATCCGTAGAGGTTGCTAAAGAAATGTTGTAATTTTGTTGGATGATATAAACTTAATTACAGTGATAGTGACAAGCATTTTTACAATCACAAATGATTATTTGAGCACCACTACAAAACAAATTGATAAACTTAATGATTCATGACTATGTACGATGGACTGAGTGTTGATATCTCACACTACATTCGGATGGCTTTTACGTCCAACTAGTGAAGCACATGCATCACTTAAAAAAGCACAATGCTCTAATGATGTTTGTTTCTTTTTGTTTTCATTTATTTTTTAAACAAAGATGGTTGAAAATTTAATTTTCTAAAAATTCAATTCAAGGATGGGGATGATGAATACAAAACATGCTACCATCAAAGACTCAATGATAATTTTTTTTTATAATAACTGTCTAAAATATCCTTTGCCTCTCCTGAAATGGATCTAAGCTTTATACCTTCTAAAACTAGTGATGAGGGATATTAGCCGTTCTTCTTTCTAATGATGTGATAAAGTTTACAAACTAGTATAGTTTGGAAGGGTTGTATGCTGTTAGGTATACAGCTCAGAAGGATATCTATTGTGGACGGGGTTTATAATGTTTTTGAAAATTGACAAATAATTTTAAAAAATTGAATTATATGATGAATTATATTTTTTAACTTCAGATCAGATATTAATATTTTCAAAATCTTTATATTCGGAATACTTTATGCTGTTTACTTCAAAGCAAATATCCCCTTAATTTGCAAATAATTTATTTTCAAGCTCAGGCTTTTAGTTGGAATACTGAGAGACATTATATGCTGTTTGATGGATACATCTTCCTACATTTTATGAATTCTAATTAGCAATGTAGTCAGGTTACAATAAGTAATATTCTCCTTGTTCAGTGGTTGGTGGTGAGATAATTCATAATGATTTGTGTTTCCCATCCTTCTAAATATTGTCTAGATGATTCTCGTATAATATTTTTCTGGGATTTTGATTCCATGATTATGTAGTGTTGCGGAAAATAAGCTAGTAAGGTAATTTCATGGAATCATGTATAGTTTTATGCTTTTTGCTTTTTGTTTATTATTTTCTTGTGTTTCAATATGGTGCTTCATAGTCCATAATGAAGCTTAGCAAACACTGCAGAAATATATGGGATTCTCAATCATTTGATGACAAGGTGACGTTGGAGATGGCTGTGAGGCCAGCAGCTCAACTGCGACAGCTTTGTGATGGTGATGATGCAATTGCAGAAGTTTAACTGGAGAATTGTGTTAATGAATAAGCCATGGCGTTGGTGTAACTCAGAACTGGATTGGTTGAAATCTGACCACCTGATCATGGAGAGATAAGATGGCTATGGAGATGGCAGCTAAAAGGAAATTATGGTACGCCAAAATAATCTTCTGTTTGCTCTTTTTTAAAGCATAAATGAGGAAGAAGCTCTGGTTCCAGTGTTAATTAGTGCAAGAAATCGCAGGAACATTTGGAGGAAAATAAAGTTATATCTTTTAATATATGTAGCGTCCATATTTCACATTAAGATAAGCAAATAGCGATTATGCATCACCGTTCTCGCATTTTAGCACTTGTAATTTTGATGTTGTCTCCTGATTTATGAGGGAAAAAAAAAGCTGTCAAGCTTGAATGTTTTATGTCCTTTTTTTTTTTTTTAAATGAGAGTTTGACTTTAAACATGACACAATGGTGAAAAAGGATTCATGTAGCCGACCTCACGTAGTGGGATAAAGGCTTGATGTTGTTGTTGTTGTTATTGTTGAACTATACAGCCTGAGTTAAATCATTAGCAGATTTTAGCTTCTTGATGGCTGCGTTAAAACCGTCTTCTTTTATATGTTTTGAGGATTCAACAGCTAGAGAGAGAGAGAATATACAAAGAACATGATGGCCTATAATGCTTATACGGCAAAAACCTTCATATGAAACACTATTGAGATTTGAGAGCCATATCACGACCATAAGAACACTCATTTTCCATACCTGATAGGGAAGAAAAAAAAGTTTTTTTTTAGGGTGGGTACAGTTGCATACTTGCATAATACTTTGTACACCCACCACTTGCAGTCTCTGAAGCCGCTCAATCTTTGCTCTTTTTGAACCAGTTCATTTGTTCCCCATAATAGTAAGCACTGCCCACCATTAAAGCAACAGTTGCTCCTTGAACTAGAACTCGAGCCCTCATCAGCTTTTGACCTAACTGAGAATTCCCTTGCTTGAAGCTCATTAAGCCTGCTGTAAGAACTCCTGCTGTGATAAGTGCTCCTGGATGACATAAAATCCCCATAATTATGAACTTACAATCACCTTGATTTTGCTAAGTAACTCAATGTCTCTGTTAATATTCATCCATTATACTGAGAAAAAACTAAACATAATGAATATCTAACACTTCATATTTACTCACATGACATTTAATTTTAAGTAAAAAAAAAAAATCCTTACATTTACCGTCAGTTAACTTCTCATTGATGCTCTTCTCTTGGCAAATTCCTTTGTTAAACTTTTTTTTTTTTAAATTTTTATGTTTTCTTATTTGTAAATTCTGTCTGATTATATTAGTAAGTTTAACTTCTAAATTTAATTTATTCTAGTTTATCTTACTATTATGGGCGGAATTAAACTCTCTTTTAGGATAGGAAGAATAAAATTGTGAAATACTTAATTATATATATAACAGGAAAAAAAAAGTTCCTTAAAATTTGAGCAACAACATAGTTAAAATGCTTGTTCTTCTCAGAAAAAAAAAAAAAAAAAAACAGGACCCAGGGTGAGCTCTTCCAATCCTTTCAAACAAGCACCTAACATGCCCAAATAACTACAAGATTCTAAAGGAAATCAAACTTTCTTGGTAGTATAAAGGCGATATAAAATCTGAAGAGCACATATCATTAAACTTTTCATCTGTGTTTCATTCAGGTAGAGGAGAAGCAGCCTGAAGGAATGCCTATTTAGACAATGTCGTAAAAAACTGCAACAAAATTCAAAATACGCTTATTAATTTTGCAGAGAGAACTAAACCGACTAATGAACAAAAATAGAATTTTCCAAAGAGGTTTCTTTATTATGTTTTAATATGCTTCCCATTTAAACAAGCACTCGTCTCTACATCTGTCACAAACTCCGAAACCCTAACGATAAATGAAGACATGGGGAAATACCAATGGGCACTAGAGGGTTCTTGACGCGCTTATTGTTGTCTGGAAGTTCCTCAAGCTTCGGCTCGGTGGCTCCCATCTTCGTCATCCACACACAATCACAACCATGTAATTTCCTCTTCCGTCTCGTCTTCCTCTCTCTTGGCTTTATAAAGTTGCCCTTGGACTTGGCGATGGTGAAGTCCGCTGCTGCGTGAGCATAGCCTGGAAGTCTCTCGATCGGGCTCGAAAAAGAAAAGAGCCTAATCATCCTGCCTATTATTTGTGTATAAATCCCACCTTGTAGTATCTAAAATATTAAAATTTATATATTTAATATTTAAAAATATATTATTTATATGCTTACACTTAAATTATTCAAATAAAATAAAAAATAATACCAAGTATAAATTTTCCATCACTCATCACCACGAAAAATTATTCTGTGCAATCACCGGACAACGTTCGGAGGCAAATCAGAGCGTGCCACGTCACTTTTTTGTTGTGCACTAATGCTGTGTAGCATTGTATACCGGGTGACTGGGGCGCTCTGATTAGCCTCTGAACTGTATAGTGACTGAACACAGTATTTTCTCCATCACCATGATGTCGATTTCGTTGCCCTTCTTCGTCTTTGATCCAACTAATCATTGAAAAGCCTTCTCTTACCTCATCTCCCTTGGTCTTGCATAGGAGGCTAGGAGCTCGTCCGGAAGAGCATTGATGGGCCCAAGTGGTTCAGGTAGGTATCAACAGGCTCAACAATGTGGGATCCAGTGGAGCTCCCAGGTGAAGGCATCTATGTGTCTGATGTGTATTTGAAGACCTTACAAGCGAGGGTGTCCATGAGCTAAGTTGTATATTAGATGAGCCCCTTTAATAGAATCAACCGAGTACTAGAAGATATAAATGATGTATTTTAAATGTTAAATACATAAATTCTAATTTTTTTTAGATTCCCTCAAAAGATAAATATTTATAATTAATGAATGCCTGAACTTTAAAGAAAATTAAAAAAAATGATATAATCTTTCTAATTTAAATATTATTATTGTCAGTGTTATTCTTCTAATTCTAATTAATTTGTCTTCATATTTAATCATAAAATCTATATCTATATTTATACTATTATTAAAGTGTCGCTTGTGAATCTTCCCATCTAAAAGTTTAAATGTAAATCCGTCGTTAACAGCCAAATGGCACAATCCGTCTTTATTTATCATTCCATCTATTCGCCACGAAGTTTACCGCTCTTCCTCCCTTTATACTTATCTTCTTCGTATCAGCGCATCTCCTAAATGAAATGGCGCCGTTTTTACGTTGTTATGTTATATACAATTATATGTTCTCGCGATTGTATGTCCCGCTATTCTGTGCTTCCCCCTGTCAATGCCTGCTTGCTCATCGAACTCAGCAAACATTCCCTTTCAAAAGGTAAACTTCTCACTGCCTCTTTTTAATTTCTTCACACCTCATTTTAGTCTGTTCAATTTTTTTTTCTATTTCGTTTTTGCTCGTCTTTCGCTGTCGTTCGGGTTTCGCTCCCCGAAGCAAAATGTATCCCACGCTTCTTCCTCTCATCGCACGCATAAATACACAAGTTCCTCAAAGCTCCACGACTTCGCCTATTTTTAATTTCTTAGGGTTTCAATTCGCCAATTTTACTGTCTTCTTTCTATTAGCACATACCGGTTCCCTTGTATCTAGGATTACTGTATTTACATTCAAGCCTATATTCTAGTCTATATATAGCTAGCCTTGTAACTGATATTTTTAATGAATTACTTCTTTCTTTTACATCTTCTCTCTCTTGATCCTTCTCCTCTCTTTCTTCCTGCAACTCTCTCATGGTATCTAGAGCCGAAAGGGTAGATCAAGAACCCATGGACTCTTCGAACCCCTCCTCCTCCTCCACATCCTCCACGCACATCGACAACACCGGCATGACGACGAGCATCCCTCCAAACCTCAAGTTTCTTGTCTCCAACATCAAGAATCTTGCTCCTCACCCCCTCACACCCGAAAATTACCATCCATGGAGCGTACAACTCCTCAAGCAATTTACGGCAAATGGCTTCGCCGGACATCTTCTCAGCACCGTCTAAGCTCCCACGGACAACCAGTCCGCAGACTACGCTCAATGGCTAGTCATCGACAGCAACCTCCTCTCCGCTCTATTCTGTACGGTCTCCCAATCCATCCTACCGTCTATCATCACGTCTTCCACCGCCCATGAAGCGTGGAATGTTCTTGAAAGAAGGCTTCAACCGACCAGCAGATCCCGTGTGATCCAGCTCAAGAACGAGCTATATCGCACACAAATGAAGGATCTCTCGGTTCAACAGTATCTCACCCGCATCAAGACAATAGTGGACAACATCTCCACATCCGGCTCCAAGATAGAACCGGAAGACGTCATGCTTCATATCCTCAACGGGCTACCGCCCATGTACAACTCGTTCAAATCCACCATCCGCAACTCGCTGCTACCCATCGATCTTGACACGTTCTACGCTCTCCTCTGCAATGAAGAGATCCATCTACAGCAAGAAAATCTCCAAGAACACTCCAGCAATGCCGGCAATCACAATGCTCTGTACGCCGCTTCGGTCAACTCCTCCAGAAATCAAAATGGCAACAATCGCCGCTTCAACAAACCCAAACCTCAGCCGCAACCTCAGACCCAGAACACCTATCCGTCCAACCCGCAAGCAGCGCCCAAACCTCTCTGCCAAATCTGTGGCAAGCTAGGCCACATTGCGCTTAATTGCTCGCACCGCAGCAATCCCAAATACGCACCAACAGATACAAGACATCCGAGAGCCCTCTTTGCAAATCCCACCGCCCCCATCAGCCAAGACTGGATTCTTGATTCCGGCGCTTCCACACACCTCACACCGGACGCGAATCAGCTGCACTACTCGACGTCCTACCAAGGAGCTGACACGGTCTCGACGGTGAACGGTAATTCCATTCCAATCAACAGTGCCGGTCAAGGCATTCTCCCCATACCCGACACATCCCGTAAGTTACACCTCAACAATCTCCTACACGTTCCCTCTCTCACCCACAACCTTCTGTCGGTATCAAAACTTACTACAGATAATTTTGTTTCGATTTCTTTTGATTCTAACGGCTTTGTAATCAAGGATCTACGGGACCATCGTCCGCTGCTTCATGGACAACTTCGGAACGGTCTGTACCATATTAGCATACCACCGGACAACAAGAATAAGGCTCTCACGGCGTACACCTCTTCCGCACACGTCTGGCACTCCCGCCTTGGTCACCCCAGCAAAGACACCCTCAACATTCTTGCTCGGAACAATCCCGACATCATCACTGTACCTAGTTCTTTCATTTGCAATTCTTGTAATCAGGCTAAGATTCACAAACTCGTGTTTAATAAAAGAATGTCCGTTACTCAAGCCCCGTTTGATCTTATTCATACCGACGTCTGGGGTCCTGCACCTCACAACTCTATCGACAGTCACCGATTCTACATAATCTACATTGACGACTACACTAGATATTCCTGGTTATATCTTCTACACACCAAAAATGAAGCACTAAATACCTTTAAAAATTTCTGTAATCTTGCCAAAACGCAATTCAATGCAACCCCCAAAGTTCTTCACTCCGACGGCGGCGGGGAATACATTAGTCACGCGTTCCGCTCTTACCTTCAAGACAAAGGCATACTTCATCAATTTTCGTGTCCTCACACACCAGAACAAAACGGTCTAGCTGAGCGAAAACATCGCCATTTGCTTGACCTAACCCGAGCACTGTTACATGAATCCGGCTTACCGTCCAAATTCTGGACATCGGCTCTCTCCACAGCCCACTATCTAATCAACCGCCTACCATCCAAATCCATCTCCAACAAGATCCCGTACCAACTCCTCCACACTCATCCGCCTCTCTACAATCATCTCCGCACCTTCGGATGCCTGTGCTATCCTTGGCTGAAGCCCTACTCTGCCGACAAACTATCTCCGCGCTCACATCCCTGCATTTTCGTGGGCTACTCCAATCAACACAAAGGCTATCTTTGTCATAACCTCACTACCGGCCACACCTACATATCACGTCACGTTCAATTCTACGAACAACAATTCCCTCTCAAACAAACTGTGTCTACGCCGCCCCCATCACCACACTTACCTCCCGCCAGTATACCTCCTCTTCTCCTCACCCCCATTTCAACTACATCCAAATCTCTCACTCCCGCGTCTAACTCAACACACATTCTCACTAACACTCACGAACCACCTCTCTCCAGTCAGGACTCTCAGCAACCTTCACCCGCTCCCACAGCCAACATCCCACACACACACCGCACCAACCCAATTGTCCCAGCTCACCCAATGCAAACACGTCTAAAGTCTGGAATCATTAAACCCAAACCTGTCTTCAATCTGCTAGCTCAACTAACCCCGACAGACATCCCGAACTCCTACATTCAGGCTCTAAAAATAGCACACTGGCGGTCAACAATGAAAGCCGAATTCGACGCACTTCAACAACAATCAACGTGGTCGCTCGTTCCCCCTCCCTCAGACAAACCCATACTTGGTTGTAAATGGACTTACAAAGTCAAAACTCTTCCCAACGGTCAAATCGAACGTCACAAAGCTCGACTCGTGGCACTCGGTTACGATCAGCAACACGACATCAACTACAACAAGACATTCAGCCCCGTAGCAAAGATGCCGACAATCCGGCTACTGCTCACACTGTCTCTCAACCGACATTGGCCAGTCTACCAACTTGATATCTCCAATGCTTTTCTACACGGAGATTTGCCTGACGACATCTATATGAAACAACCACCCGGCTTCATTGATCACACTCAACCACAGGCGGTCTGCAAACTCCACAAGTCCCTCTACGGACTCAAACAAGCGCCGCGACAATGGTTTCAAAAACTCACCGGATATCTACAACAACAAGGCTTCGGGGTCAGTCGTTTCGATCCCTCTCTCCTTCTTTTCAACAAAAATAATGTTCACATATACATACTAATCTATGTTGATGACTTCTTGGTGACAGGGAATGACGATCTCACTATCCAACGGCTTCTCCAACAACTCAGCTCACAGTTCGCCCTCAAACAGCTAGGTCCCATCTCCCTTTTTCTCGGAATTCAGGTGACTCGCTCTTCTCACGGTTATTTTCTGTCTCAAGAACATTACGCTACTAAATTACTCAATGATGCAGGCTATAAGGATTGCAAAGCCGCTCCCACACT